TCATGTGCTAAGAAACCCCCAAAAAGGTTACTTCCTCACTTACAAATCTCAGAAAAGTTTAGCTGGGCCTGCTACTTCACAGGTCTGAGTAGCAATGTACTCTGTCTTGCGTTTTGTTTGTGGGTTTTTTTGAACACTTGTTCATTGCTGTAAAATGATTTCTGCCTCATGCCTCTTCCCTTCTGATGTTCAGACCAAGTTGTCCTAAAGTCAGTTGAGCATCATTATTGTAGGTACAGTTGCACTTAGAATTACATAATATTTTATCAGGGGATGAAGCATTGAATACCTCTTATTGATGTTAATGGAACGAAACCTGTTTAATTACATTGTAACTCTGAGAATTCAGCAGAAAAGATGCTGCATCATTCAGGTTGTAAACAGAATGCTGCCTCTAGCCACCTTTATAAAACAGGCTGCTAAGTGCACTGTTATTCCTGGACCTCCTCCTAAAGCTTTGCATTGACTTCAGTAGGCCAGCCCAGTACGTGCTGCTTTGTTATGAGTCTGTATGGAGTAATTTTTGTTAAGAAGCTACCTCCTAAAGTACCTGTAAGGCAGTCCCCCTTCCCATGCTTCAGTAATGCTAAACCAGCTGCTTTGCCTCCCAGCTGAATGTGTGGGGATGAGGACCGTCATCATTACAATAATACCTCCTGCATCTGACTCTACAGCTCCTGCTGGGAGAAGTAATAAAATGTACATTTCTCTGTGCCAGCAAGAGCTGCCACAGTACAAGGAGGATTCACCTCCAAGTTCAGATTTTTTAGTTGTAATTTTCCTCCCTCACTCTTCTTGTATTTTTTGAGTACTGTGGGAGAATAACTTTAGATTATGGTGTCCGAGGAGACTGCCTGCAAAAGCTGAAAAAGTCTGAGATTTATATTCATTCATTCAGGAGTATTTCTTGATGAGAGTGTTGTATTCTCTGCACCGCAGGAAAGAGAAAACAAAGCGGAGTACGTCTAGCTCCACAGCACAAATGAGAGCTCTGTGAACAACCCCCTGTCTGCAGCATGCTTTTGCCCAATGAACGTTCAGCGTACAGACACTGACAATCTTGGTAGAAATTGCTGTGGGGGAAAATTATCTGAAACATTACCATTTAACTTACAGCTGCAGCTTTGCGTCTTGAAACATTGACATTTCACCTGTAATTTATTAATGAATTGTGGAAACTCTTTTCCCTAGGCACTAGACCATCAGACTGTGTACGGAGTCTGTCAGCAAATACTATTTCTAAACACCCATGTAGTCTTTTAGACAGTGTAAAAAGAAATAGCTGTACATACAAAAATAGATATGCAGCTCTTTTTCAAATTAGTAACATATAGCAACTGTCTAGATACTGTCCTGGGCAACTGGCTCTAGGTGGCCCTGCTTGAGCAAGGGGGTTGGACGAGATGCCCTCCAGAGGTCCCTTCCAACCTCAACCAGTCTGCGATTCTGTAATATGTTAATGGTCTTTCTTCAACTCATTCATCATTACACAATGATGTCTTTCAAAATGATTCATCTGTCATGGTCAACAGTGGTCACTGTTTTAAAAGACTTCTTTAGTAAATATCCTAAAGGAGCTTTTCAAATGCTTATAATTAAATTCTGCACCTTTGTCATCTTCTGTACTGAGTGATATTTTGTCCAAATAAGAAAATCTGCAGAAGATCTTATAAGGACATCTTAAGAATGACATCGTTAGATTCAGGAGAATCGCTATATGTTAAAAATGTAATCAGATGTACGTCAGACAATAGTAGGCACTGAAAGGAAAGATTTTATAAAACCATTTCAATTACTTGTCATATACAATGGATTGAACAAGAAGCTATATTCCACTCCAGGAGGATTTGAATGCCACCTTATTTAGTTTGAGAACAAAGAGATTTTCAGTTTTTCTGTTCTGTGTACATAGAAGAGGCAGCAGAATGGATTCGTTGTGCACAAATCATGGCTAAGGTGGTGCTGAGAACAGCGTAGATAAAGGGGTTAGTGTGGCTACAGGCAAACAATTATTTATGGATTTCAGTGTGCTTTTTCGTGCATTGCTAGAATGAGCAATGATTAGATCTGAACTGTACTAAGAGTTTAAGGGGCTTGGTGGAACAGGTACAGTTTGGTTATTAAACTGACTTAATAATAAGAAAGTTATGCAGGTGTATGTTTTATCCTTCTTAAATTACATTAAACATTATGTAACAGTCAAATAGGAGAATTAGATTTACAAATGCCTCAAGCAGATATTCAAGACTGGTCACATCTGTTGCTTATAGAGAGTGAGTTTTGACATGCAAGACTTCTTTTCCTAAGAACTGTGCTATAGATATTATGATCACTGATAACTCTTTGTAGAACACCATTTAAAATCTGTTATCATTGAGAATTTACAAATGAACCCAAGGATTATATGACATTGTTGATCATATTTTTCCCAAGTTTTTGAGTCGGTTGGTTCTTTTTTAAAATACTAGTTTAATCACACACTAGTGAGTTTGTTCTTTCACAGTCTACAAATCAGTTACAAGGATATTGGATATTATGAAGCCTACCAGCTAGATACTGGTAGGATGCAGACAATATGGAGTTGTAAGATATCAAACCTAGCAAATAATCAGATGAATGTATCATTATCAGCTCACCTTTGTGATATTCTACCTTAGTAATGAATATTTTAAAGAACTTCTTAGTAACTCTTCCTATATCTGAAATATTGTGACCTGTTTTAAAAACAATTTAATGTCATAATAGTTGTGTAATCAAATATATGCTTTTAGACATTATAGCCAGGCACAGCATTTATAGCTATGCAAGCAAGAACGGTATGTACAATCTGCTCTCCTGCTTTAAGATGAAGGGGAACCTGCAGATGTCAAGAAAATGCACCATTATCAGTGGTTCAGTACAGTATGGTTTTTGAAGTAACAAGTATTTAATGATTCATTACTGCAATTACACAGCATTCTTCTTATATAATGTAGTAGTTGTTCTTATATAAGAATATGTCCTATGCCATAATACAATAAACATTGAACTGATCTGTTCAGGATAATGCTGGGTATGTAGACTCAACCCATTTTTATGATGGAATCATACAGTACAAGCTAGAACACACCAGAGATCCTTTAGAGGCTATAAAAGAGCTTTCTTTTTCCATAGTTTTAAAATTAAGGGCAAAATCTTGGCCTCTGTTGAGGTCAATGTCAATTTCACCAATGGAAGCAAGATTTCATTTCAAATGGAGAAAGGAGGAAACTTCTCAGCGTGCTGCCCTTGTCTCAGTTTTCTTCACTGGCCCAAGTTTTTCTGAATTAAGTCCTAGGATGACTTATGTGCTGACAATAGTCAAGACAAATGATCTTTTTGCTGTACTTTGAAAGTGTTTAGCATATTTTAGATCTCTAAATGGATCGCATTTGTTATCTCCTTTCCTTTTTTGCCATTCCCTTGTGTATGATATCCCTCAAAAAAGGTTTGCGGATCAGTCATCCCAAACATTTTACACTCAAGAGTGTTTGATTACCACTATGTCTGTCCACTGAGATCAGAAGTGAGCCACACATCTTAATTCTGTTTAGATGTTTGTAGCAATATGTTCGTTGGTGTGTAAGTTTTGTAACAGGAGGCTCAGTGGAGAGAGATATATCATTACGATACTACATAACGAGTCAGCAGGACAGGGGGACGGGCAAGTTTTACCTCCCAATGGGACAAGCCGTTGTTTATAGGTCAGTTAAGTACAGGATCTGACACCTTCTCTACCAAAGTAATATTTACATTACCAAAGAGGGAAGTTTTGGCACTCCTGCTAAAGTATCACCAAATCGGTGAAAGGTAAATATATTTTGGAAAGTACGATTGAATCTGCACTCCTCAGGGACCCTAAGAAAGAGATTGCTGTAAAAGCTAACATACCTTACCAGCAAAGGTTCTCTCTGAGGAATGCAGCCTGAGCCATAAAGCACATGAAAAGACAAAATTCCTGATGAAGGAGGTCAAGAAAATGCCCAGAGTAAATCAGTGGCATATAGGAACATTTTTTTAGGTTTCATGGTTTTATAAGAAAATTAAATAAAATGTTTTGTTTGTTTGTTTGCATTCACCTTTGTCTTTCAAAAAAATATCCATATATTATATATAAATATTTCTGTTTTTTAAGTTTTCTTTCAAAATAACTGGCTAGTATCATGGCATTTTTTAATATTTTTCACCTAAGAATGTGACAAATCTAGAGAACAAAGGCAGTGTGAGAGGACCTTTTCCTTTCTCCTTACTGGAGGTGTTTAAAAGGGAGAGTTAAGGACCAGAGAAAGTGGACCAAGAGTGTATACCAGAAAAAAACAACAGACAGAAAGTTGTACATATTGGCAACATTGGTTTTATGCCATTTTTGTGAATGTACAGTTCTTTCCCAAATGATAATCTTGCCCATTGTCCATGTCCGATCTACGATACCACCAGCCCTTTTTGCCATTCCTAGCTATGGTTGATGGAAACCAGTACTGTGACCTTTCTCCAAAATTTAATTTTCACTTACATTCTTCAGCATCTTTGCTGAGCAACTTACATATTTTTTTAACATCAGTCTCCTAAATCTTTAGTTCACAGGAAAGTTCAGAGAACAAAGAAGCCATTGTTGGAGGCTTAGACACCACTCAAATCAGTTCAGATTATTTGCATTCAAATCAGTTGCCTGGAGACACCAATTTTTGCTAACATAGAACCTAACTGTCCTGGTTTTGGGAAATGACATGCTAGAGATGGGAAGGGAATCGTGTTGGAAGATGTACAGTTAAGTTTGCAAACTGTCATGAGAAACACAGATAGATATCCTCTGTAAACCTAAGCATGCACAAGTTTAGCGGACACTTGACTATGTGATTGAATGAATACAGCATTAATGAAACATAGTCTTATGAGGGAAAGGGACTGTCCTGTCTGGGTTGATATAAAGTCCTTGTTTTGCTTCTATAATTAATTTCATTTTATTTTCATAAACATTTTAGGTGTATCAATACATGCATGAAACCATAACTGTTAATGGCTGCCCCGAATTCCGAGCCAGGGCCACTGCAAAGGTAGGATACGTGCAACTGTTTAAATACATGTTACCAAAGTGACCTAGTAATTGACTGTGCGCGTGTGTGTTTCAGGTATTCGTGTGTACACTGTAAGAAAATTTAGACATCAGTGGCAGCCCAGAGTCTAGAACCAGTGCTACTTCCCAGGTAACAATCATAATGGAAAATTTCAACCTTTATGCTGCTTCTGTAGCTTAAGAAAAGAGAATGATTTTATGGAATTTGATGCTTTTTGAAAAGTTGCTTTGCAAAAGCAAATCTACTGGTTCATTCTGTAGAAGTCTGCCTGCAACAACCAATATTTTAATGGACTATTTTCCCATACAGCTCATCCAGAGAGGACACAATGATTTGGGAGATAGAAACTAAACAGTCAAAATTCCCCTTTTAACTAATGGAACTGTAGGTACTGAGCAAGTGGTAAGGGTGAACAGTGACAAAAATGGCCTGATCAAGAGACTCCACAGCCAAATGCAAGCCCATTTTTTCTGATGCATGACCTGTTTTAGTAAAATGTATCGTCTCTTTGTCCGTGTGGACCTGCCTTTCTCATATCCTTAGACGATGACAGCTATATTACTGCTACTACAAAAATGATAATTTTCTAAGAGAATTCACACAACCATGAAAGAACCCATTCTGTGTGCCAGTATGAAATATGCTCTGTGTTTTCATAACATGCACAAAGACAGGTGCTTCCAAACAGGGAGATCCACCATGGCTTGCTTTTTCCCATTATCATTTTGTACTCAACACTATCTTCTGGGTGGTAGAGCAGCTACTATGCAAAATAGGTAAATCTGCAAAAGCCAGTCTTTTTCAGAGATATTTCTTTATGGTCCCACTCCTGTGAAGTTAGTGACAAAACTCCCTGAAATCCTAATGGACCTAAGATCTTACCATTATGTATTTATCTTGAAGAGGTTTTAATTTAAAGCTGTATCAGAAGATGAAGGTTGGGAGTGTGTTACAAAATGATTTCTACAGTATTTTAGAGAAGCAAGCTGTATAGTAACCAGCAAATAACCTAATATACACTAAGTTGCAGTGTATTTTCCTTACTAAAAAGAACGTTCTTTTCTGTAGGATGTTCTTCTGATTTTAACCTTCTTCTAGTAGAAAGTTAATAGGCAATGTAAATTTGTAAGGTCTATGGTTCTATATAGAGAAATGTGTATATGAAATCCTGATTTGTCTACACTGCAGCTAAACATAGAAATTATTGCTATGTTGTATAGTAAACGGGGAGAAATCCAATTAGTGTTTGCCATTCTCATTTCTTACTCATATAGAACAGCAGGGTTACAGAGCAATGTTTCAATATCGCAATATTTCCTGGTTATTTCTGGGCTGTCTGCATTGCATTCTCCTAGTGCATTCATGTCTTACATGAAATGTATGCATGATGACAAGGTCTGCATGTGCAAAAACATGTAACTGAGAATGATCCATTATGTCACATCATCCACTAGCTTCTATTAAGCATAAGCATTACTAGGATGCTCAAAAAACATTAGCGTAATGCAGAACTGTTCGAGCAGTTTGGACTACAAACACATGTTGAAAAGGATAAAAGTTTTTCGTAATGTTTATTTAATGATTTACTAAGATCTATAAGTGGGAAAATACTTGTAGTGAAAAATGAAGTATAAGATGTAATATTTTTATGGATGCAAGCTTTACAGTTTGTTACATGGGGTTTTTTTTGCTAGAGTATAATTAACAATCTAGGATTTTTCTAATTGATTTATAAATCCATTGTCTTAAGATTTAATTTTTCAATAAAAGTTTTGATCCAATTATATTATAAAAGCTCATATTACTGTTCCAGGAGTTATTTAGTTTGCAAGATTTCATAAAGATTATAAATTAAACTTTTTAAAATAAGGGTATCCTTTTAGGATATTTTTCGGTGCCTGAAGAATAAAATAAATAATTCTGTACCTCTGAAAGCAGAGCAGAGAGTTAACAATTCAGTTCATCCACTTTATTTCAACTAGGAATACAGTAGAGATCACATTATCTTATCCCACAGTAATAAATTTTGTCCCTGTGAAAAGGCAAAGAAGAAATGTCCTAGTGATCCTAAGCGTTCGCCACCACGCAGTCAGGCTTCCTGGTGCCTACTTCTGGCTCTGCTGCTAACTTTCTCCGTTATCTTTGACAAGTTACCTAAACTCTCTATTCCTCTGCTTATTCCTTTATTTCAAAAGCATTGGCATGGAACTTCTTAATATTTTTAAAATGCTTTCAGATAATCAGAAAAAGTCAGAGTAAGATACTGAAATGTTTTCACAGGAATGAATTCTTCCTGCAAATGAACAACAGAGTGTATATCAGTGTTCTCCCTACATAGCCAAATCACTCGCTTTTTTTCTTCCAGGCAACAGTTGCTGCTTTTGCTGCAAGCGAAGGCCATTCACACCCGCGAGTGGTGGAGCTGCCAAAGACTGATGAAGGCCTGGGCTTTAATGTCATGGGAGGAAAGGAACAAAATTCACCTATTTATATTTCTCGCATCATTCCTGGAGGAGTGGCAGAAAGGCATGGAGGGCTCAAACGGGGGGACCAGCTGCTTTCGGTTAATGGAGTGGTATGTGGAAATTTGATAGAGCTTTCATTTTCATCTGGATTTTCATTTTTCACAGCTGTTCTAATACCATGATTTAAAATGCAGCCGTATGAAACAAAAAGAATTAGCTCTGTGAGGGACCTTCAGTGTGCATTTGTGGTGCAGTGAGGCAAAGCTGCGCCGACAACTTTGTGCCACTACAATTTCTGTTGTAATGCAGGGTGCTTGAAGAGCTTCATTTTAAATCCACACCACATGCTCAGTTTACAAGGAAGCTATGTCTTTCTTAATTGATAATTCTGCAAATTCCTTTTGTAGTAAAAGCGTAATAACAGGCTTTGTCGTTCTTGCACTTCGTAGCCTCTGAGGCACACAGCCCTTTTCAAGCACAGTGATGCCTCAGTGGCATTTGTGCAGCCTTGTGACCTTCAGAGCATTTGAACACATAAAATGAAAAGAAATTTGGTAAGCACATTTGGTGCTGATTTGCAATGGAAGGTACATTCCAGATTTCTTTCAGTGGCATTCATCCAGCTGTGATATCTTTGTCAGAGAAATCAGCTGTACAAACAAACACGTACAGGGAGCATGTATTTTCAGTAAAAAGGTGCATTGTTTACATAGTCATTTTCCATGCAAGTCAATACTTCAGGGTGGAGTGTTTTGCAGTAGTTTCACTGTGAGTGTCAGTATGGAGGTAAAAATAAAAGGGCTCTTGGAATAGAGAGGAAAATAAGGCTCTGCCTACATGATATGGGTCAAATTCTGCCTTGCATTTTGCTTTTTGTTCCCTTTTACAAGGGAATGTAAACTACTGAAAGGGTAGAGAAGGTCTGGAAGCTCACTTGCTCCTGTACACAATGAGAAAGAAAAGATACAAAACAGAAAAAGAAAAGCCACTGAAAAGATTATTTAGTCTCGGGGAAAAAGAAATCAAGTGAACATTTAATAAGTAGATTGCCTGAACTTCACTCATTGGAAGTAGATCAAATAATTTTGTTGTTGTTCAGAACTTCTTTCAACAGGTGAATAAAAAGACAGATAAAAAGAGTTCATATTCACTAATTGATGGATGGTTCTTGAAAAATCCTTTTACTGTCAACAGTGTCTAGGCAAATACTGGGGAGGAAAGTGATGAACCTTCAGATGTCAAGATATATTGAATTTGACTGTCGGCACCTCTATTTCATGATACTCTGTTCAGAAAATTTCATGAATGTGCTCTAGAATATATATTAAGCTAACATAGCAAAAAAACACAATATAAAATTCCCAATTGCATGTAGGCACATGAGAAAGTTGATTCTGAGATGCAACAGAAATATTTTTGCATTCAGAGTCTAAACAACAGACTTTGAAGTTTGAATTGCAGTTGCATACTTGAAATAATGCCTATGAGCAACTGTTCATACACCAATCTTGGGCTGAACTAAGCCCATACAGTATAATTCGTAAAAAGGCAAAAATTATAGAAGTGGTAATTTGTTTGCAGACAGCTTGAGACAAGAGGAAAAACGTCCAAATTTAACATTGTTCACTGGGACTAGTTCACTCTGTGCTTCTCTCAATTTAGCTGGAGAAAAGCAAATAATATACAGTATGTACAATTCAACAGACGGCTCAGCAGTGGAACATGAAATGAAAATAAAATATCTGTAACTTGTTTGTGCTCAGAAGTTGGTGGTTATCCAACTTTATAATTATCAACATAAAATTAGAGCTGTGTGTTCAGAATCCAGATTTGTTATCCCAGCATGACTGGGATGACTGTTCCTTGAGCTGTTTCACCGGATGTTAAAAAAAGTGTTTTCTCATTATGCTGGGGATTTTGTTACATACTTTTGTCCCACACCCCCTAAAAGTAAAGGAAATTGAAAGCAATAAGCCCTGCAGATGGTTCAGCAAAGGCACTTGCTGGTGGCTGTTCATATCTGGCAAAGATTCTGCATTTGTCAGATACCTGGTGTGAGTCAGATACAGAAAGGGATACAAAATAGATTTATAATGGCTAATTTCTCACCCAAGCATTTTCTCACAGATGTCTAATAGAAATATTCTTCTCAGTTTCTCAGCTTCTGGGGTAACAATCAGATTCTCTTTTTTGTCTGCAAGAGAGTGGGATTTTTTTCTTTTACATTTATGACAAGTCTGTGAGGCTGGATACAGTAATGGTTGGTGTTTCCCCACACCATATCTGCAGTCCTTTGATCTGTTCTTGTTTCTACATTATTTTGCGTCCCTTTTTTTGATGCAATCTGTCAATGCAATAAGGGAAATATATATATATTTATAGATAGCAAATAAATAAATATATATTATTAAGTAATATATATTATTAAGTATATATAAATAATTATTAATATATTATTAAGTATATATAAATATATGTAATTTAAAATTATATATTAAATAAAGATATACATTCCAAAACAAATCTATTAAATCCCATGTTTGGTAGGCAGTTCAACAGTAACATGAGTGTCAGATCCTCGCAATGTCCCCAGCTGGTGTAATCCAGTCAGCAAAATTCCTTGTACAGGCATGACCGATACCAGCAGGAGTCCTTCGCCAGCCCAGCCTCCAAGGTTTGCAGAGGCGGAAGAATTCAAACAGCAAAACAACGTTCTTTGGTGGTATAAGCTCTTTTCCCTACTCCAAGGGGCTCTGCTATTTAAGTTGTGCAGCTACTGCTATGCAGGTGAAGCACTTGTAATGCCTTGGAAATATGAGTGCAAGCAGGAAGGAAGACGTTAAGAGCAAGTATAGCAATCATATTAACAGCAGCTGAAAACTGTAGTTGTTAAGACCTGAGTTAGGTACGTTTGGAGACTAAGATTCGTATTAAGCAGCACTATCTTTTACTTTGCCTTTGTTATTTTCCCGTCTTTGGTTATGGTTCAGAGCTTTAGACTTAATTCTGTATCATTAGTATTCAAGTCAATGGGAGTTTTCCATTGACCTGGATAGCAACAGAGTCAAACCCTTCATTTCTAATTAGAAAATACTGGCTGTAAACTGGAAGAACAAGGCTGGAGGCAAATGGGAAAGAAAACAGGCAATCATGAATTAAATACAGTCTACTAAGTTGTATGAAGTATTAAAGTACACCATCTTGTTATTCCCCTATAGAACAGATACAAATGCTTATTGATGTCAGTTAGAACCATCCAACTCTTTGAAAGCAAATGAATATTTTAGCTTCTTCGTGTAGCTTGGGAGCTTACAATTTTTGTTCATAGCCTGTTCTAAGCTCATACTGTTCCACAGCAAAACTGATCGCAACAACACTTCATACGCTGTTGTTTCCTCTGAATGTCCATGCCATGTCATACTGACCACGATTCACACGCAAAAAATGAAATATAAAACAATGCCAAATTTTTTACAGTTCCTCTTAAGGTGAGAACTGTGTTTCCAAAAGCCAGTATCAAAGCCAGTCACAAAGCAATGAGTTATAAAAGATAGCTAGTTATAGTATGTGTTAGTTATGGTCACCTCTTCTAACATTGAGCAGTTATGGGGTAGGGGACACGGGGAAGAGGTTTTAATTTGTATCTGTAACTTGTTTATTAAAGCAATTTCACAAAGCACCCTGTGCATCTATAGCTTTTTATTTTAGCTCTCTTTGGAGCATTCGATACATTCCCTGTTTCTTATGCAACAACAATTTCCTCTTTTTCAAATATTTGTAAGGAAACTCATTTTTCTCCATATTAGTTTTGGGTAGCGGTGCTTGCTCAGCAAATTTATCCCAATCACAATTTCTAACAAATCTGGTCATCACAGACCATGAATTTTCTTGAAGACCTTTGAATAGGAGACCTACGGGAGGAATTTAATGAACATACAGTTCAAAAACATGAAGTCATTTATTTCAATGGTCAAATGTCTATTTACTTCAAGGTTTTCTCTGTTTCTGGTAATCACTTCAGCACCTGAAATGACATTCATTATTTCTCTAAGTTGCATTAATATTTTTGAAGCATCTTAACATTTCTGTAGAAACTCTTGAGTCCAGTCAGTTGACCCAGACATGAAATATTTATTTGTATTAATATGTTGAAGGATATTTAACAGGAGAAGACAGACAAATAGCAAGGCAATAAGCTTGAATTGTATTGTTTATATTACTTATGTAGAAGTGTATTGTGTCTGCTTTTTGAAACTTTTAAACCGTTATTTCTAGCTCATAGTGTGCCACAGCAGAAGTAATTCTTATTCACTGTTGTTGCACAATGCTACTTAGTCAAATAGGAGAGATGAAAATAGAAAGAATTTTCTTCTGACAGTTGCTATAACGATGCTAAGTTATTCTTTTAGCATGAATTGAACTTCAAATATTTTGAATGCTGCTGCTTCTCTTTGGAAGCCTATGGGTATAGTTTCATTTTAAATAGCATGGTATACATAAGTGTTTTAAGACACAGCATGTAGTAAAACTTTGATTTCTTTTATGTGGGAAGAAAATTACTTATTTTTTAAGTGGTCTAAAATCCATGTGAAGATCTCAGTTGTGCGGTCTTCTTTTTTCTGTGCAGACATACTTTTGTTTGTTGGAATACATCCTACAACACACATGGGCAATCATACACCATTAGAAAACTTCTCCCTTTCTCTTAAGGTGTGGAACAATCCACATGCCTGAAAAGCACTCTGGTCAGTCCACTTAATGGTAGAAATTAAATACTCTTTTCACAGCCGAGTCACCTCCCCCTTTTGGAAATTTACTGTTTTAAACAATGCTAGCATAGAAATCAGAGCTTGAGCCCCTTTGGGACTACTTTTGATTTCACAGCAGATATCATCTTACTGTAAACCATTTTCCAGACAGAAAGGGAAAATACTTCAGCAAGAATTTGCAATGTTTCAGTTGTTAGTGTTTGATTGCTTACAACTAACCAGATAAAGACTAGTTTATTTCCAATAGAGAACCTATATCGCATCAATGTTAAACGTGTGAGCAATGCCATTAACTAAGACGCAGCTTGTCCCCGGGAGCAGCAGGCATGCTCCTTCGCCTGCAGCTCAGCGACTGCTTAATCACCACATGTTGTTCCCTGTGGGATCCAAACAGGGCCAGAGTATAAGAAGGGAATTGTGATTTCAAACTTGCAATTTCTTCATTTCTTACTGACATTTAAATATTTATTTTTGTACCTTGCAAACAGACTGTTTGGGTTTTTACTGCAGGGTTTGGGGTTTTTTAACATTTTTGTTTGCATAAAGCTTGTTGAGTATTTCCCCTCCTTTTCACACGGATCAGAAATTAGGTTTGTAATGCCACCTAAAACAGATTTGGGTTATTTAAAATATGAAAATTAATACATTCCCAGCAGTGCATAAATCTCACTTAACTCAACACTTTCCCTTAATGGTCCCTTGAAAAATGTAAGGTGTGGAAACTTCCTAAAACCCCAACAACCTTTCCGTATCAAAAAAGAGGACAGAGCACTAGATCAAAGCAGTATTTTTGTTATTAAATCCGTTTTCCCTGCTCCCAGAGTGTGGAAGGAGAACACCACGAGAAGGCGGTGGAGCTGCTGAAGGCGGCTAAGGACAGCGTCAAGCTGGTGGTACGCTACACTCCCAAGGTGCTGGAGGAGATGGAGGCTCGCTTCGAAAAACTGAGAACAGCCCGGCGCCGGCAACAGCAGCAATTGCTCATCCAGCAGCAGCAACAGCAGCAAAATACACAGCAAAACCATATGTCGTAGGTGAGAGGATTCATTGGTCTTCCCTAAAGCCCACTGACGGCACCCCGCCTGGGCCAGCAGCTCACGGAGTCCAGGCGTCCGTCAGGGCAGGACCTGACGCCGGGGCCCATCCCAGCCCCAGCCAGGAGCAGGGCAGCCGGGGGCACCGGCACAGTCCCAGCCCCAGGTGTCGGGCACCTCCCTGGGGATGGCGACTGTCTAAGGCCAGGCTGGGCCTGCGGGTGGGCCCAGCTCAGTGGGGCCCATGGCTGGGCAGGGCAGGGGAGCTGGAGACCAGCCCTGCTGGAGCATCACTGGGGCAGGGGCTGATGGCCCAGGGGACTGACATGGGGTCCTGGGCCAGGGACAGGGTGGAGGGAGGGTCAGGGCTGGCAGTGCCCCTGGGGCCCGGGCAAGCACATACTGCAGGGAGGGTGATCAGAGCTCATTCTTTGGTACATTTCCATGTGGTCTGTCCCAGTATTTTGAAAACAGGTGAAAGGCCCTAATAAATTGTGGAGCCAATTTCCAACTAATAACCCCAAGATCAACAGCCACTATGCAGCTCTGGCTTACCTGCAAGCAAGACTGCACAAGAAGTCTGTAGTTCCTGGGAACACTTTTTAATTAAAAGCCAGAGCATTTGTGACAAGTAAGAATATGCTACCACATTTAGACACAGTTTAATGTATTTTCAAATAGTTACCACTCTGCAACAGAAGATCGAAATTTGCTGCTGGTACGTGAAGAAAAGCCTTCCTAGTCCCTTCCCTGCTACAGGGAACCCAAACTTCACTCTCTGGTTCCTCTGCAGGGAACCCACAAGTGCTTACTTACCATCTCCAGTTTGATAGGCAGTATTTCATTCACTCTTGACTGACATTCAATATTACAATAGCTTCCGAGAGGCTTGCATGTTTCCCAGTGTAGTCAAAACACATGGCATGTGAGGTACAGAGATTCTCCATATATGCAGTTTTTCTGAAATCAGTGAGTTTGTGACATGAATACATTTATAGATATGCTCCATTTGCCCAAATGAAATCAAGTAGGAAGAATGTCCCAATGACTTCCATCCCAATCCTCCACATCTCATACCAGGTGTTCCCGGAACAGGATGTTTGTACCAGTAAGAGTCTACAAGTGACTCAGAAAGCCCCCAAATGGTCAGAAACTGAAGCTCCCACTGATGGTTTCATTGTTATTGATGTTGACACTGGCCTCTGTAGATATTTAGGGGAAAAAAGCCCACCTTGTAGACCCCCTGTCTTGTGACCACCAGAATTCCAGCTTTGTTCATGCAAACAAAGGCTCCAAGTGGGATCTGAATCCCACCTCAGGGCCTCAGCTCAGGCAGGAGGTATAAACAGTAGTATTTTCTGAAGTAAGTTTTATGTTTCTGCATAAAATAGGGCCATTACAGGAGACTAACATACCAATGGCACAGCCTCACATGAAGTTTTTCATTTTTTCAGTTACTTAAATCTTTTGATTAGCAAGTAAGGTATTTTTACTGATTTTAATTTTTTCTTTAAACTGAAAGGGAAGAAAGGCAGACAGAGACAGCCATCAACTTAATTCCTCTATTCCTTGTGCTTGCTCTGAGAAATGTGTTTCTTTAATTCTAGGTTATTCTCAAGAAAAAAAAAGCCTCGATCAAGAGTTCAGTAATCAAGCAACCAGAGCTGTACTTCAGTATTCCAGCAAAAGGAAACAACTACAGGAACACAAAACAGAATTCATCTGGAGAACGTGCAGTATAAGAATTATGTAGTTAAGACAGTCATAGGGAAGGTACCTTCATGATAAGGCTTTTCAGCACACCGCAGTCACAGATACATAGTACTTCTGTGACTCTATTCCTAATGAGAACAGCATGATAGGTAAACCCTATGAAACAGAGAAGTCCAGGGCTTCCAAATAATTCTGTTTGATCTAATCTTGCACTCCTTAGTCTGACAAATTGGTCTGTTGGCTTTCTCTAGTCACTGAAAGTTTTGTTTTAAGGAGATCAAGATTGGCTGCTTTTGGGGACAGAATCTTTCTTTACAGTTGTCTCCAGAAATGAACAACTACATCAGTTCAAAATTTTGCCACAGACATCAAACTCATACATCACGCTTCATAGCCACTTTGTACTATATATTGTAGAGCTGTTTTAACCTAACTTCCTGTTTATAATTTTCAATTTTCCCTCTGGAAATAGCAATTTACTATATTTATAAAGTATTCCATTTGTAGAAGCAATTGGCTTTTTACTCTTGGTGTTTCCATATATTTTATTATGCATCAACAGAGTGAGAAAGTTTTAGGTCAATTTTAATTTTATTAGTAGTAAAGTTAGGGAATCCTAGAACTGTATTTTTAAACGTAAGTATTGCTTGTATCTATTATAGTTACTATTCAGAAATCTATAACTGGATATATTATATATTTATTCCATAAAATATATATTGTCTGAATGTACCTGTTAGAGAAGTAGGGTCTTTGCTTAGCATGTGTTGCAAATGTAGTAAGCTAATGTTAGCAAAAGACCAAGCTTTGTTTGGCAGATATTACTGTGATAGCATAATCTCAACTTTTCTGTATTCTTTAATTTATTTTCCAGTCTAATGTCAATATATTTTAGAGAGGAGGAAGTGTAAGTTGTTTCTTTTAAGACTCTCACATTATAATTTAAATCAATTTGAAGTTAGAGTTCTGGCTTTTTTTTTTTAATCAAACCAAATTGGAATGTGCAAACAAAATATATAACTAAGTTCTTAAGTTTACATGTCTGCTTTTCCAAAGAAAATAGTCAAAGCTGGAAGGCTATGAATGTCATCTACTTTCAAGAAAATAAGAAAATGGAACCCCCAGATTCTAAAAAATAACCATTTTCAGCATGCCTTCTATGCTTCATGAGAAAAGACTGGGGGAGAAAAGGAGCTCAGGGGAGAACCCTACAGTCCTTGCATGTTGAAAACTCCAGCCGATGTCAGTGAAAGTTTAGTAACGTGAGGAATGTAGAAATGGTCTGAACCAGTGTTCTGGTTGTGAACTTGGAACAAAGTCAGAAATAATTAATGTTTTGAAGGATCTATTCTCAAACAGAGAGAGGCAAAGCAAAACAGGGGAAATTGGCAGTATCATAGCATGTGTTAGAAACCAAATGCAGGCTAGCCAACAGTCTTGACAGTGTTTGATTAGTGTAAGTAGCCATTGAAAGGAAATTACTGTATTTTTAAAACCAAACAGCATGAATTCATCCAGAGAAGCCTCATTTTATACAGAGAAGTAATTCTATCCAGTGGTCGTTGGTGACAATATCAATTAAGACAGTGGAGTTTGAGAACTACCAGAATTAAAGATGAAATATATTGTATTGTGCTCTGCACGGTGTCTTTTTATACTTAATAAAATTGTACGTACCTATTTTAAAACTGTATTCTCAGGCACTGCTATTAATATTGACAGTATATAAATTGTTATTATGACTGCATATAACTGTTGTGTATCTCATCAGTATCATTTGAATTACACTGATATCTGCATTTCCAGAGACCAAGTATTCAGATTTAGTCAGCCCACTGTACTGCATTTTTCCAAACGGCCTCTCCACCTCCTCCCCTCCTCTTCCTCAAAAAATTTAGGTTTGATGGAGTGGAATGTGCTGATTAATAAATTTCAATAACAGAATGTCATTCATATAGAGAAACATATCAAATTCATTTTCATATATTATTATTCAATAAATTATTTATACACACTAAAATTAACATTCTAGTCTTTGGCAACATTTAACAATAAGATGAAAGAAAAACAAGTAAAATACAACTGTCAATGAATTTGAAGTGGAAGCAGGAAGAAATAACTTTTTAAGGGTCACTTTTCATGCCCCTTACTGATGAATAAAACATATAGCCACTTAATCACAGAATAATCTGTGTCCCTAAACCTATCGATCGTCTGCATTTAAGTTCTAGACAGTCTTTTCATTTGTGATGTAAACGTCTTTGGTCCTGACACAGTAAGGCACTTCCACACATACATTGCTGAATTAGGACCTAAAAGAAGTGCAGCGAGAAGAACACTTTCCACACGCAGGTCTGCAGGTACTTGTGCATCGTATTTTAACTGATTGGTCTCCTGGCATTTGCTGTTTCACTACACTGAATTGATATTCCTTCAGTCAACTTGGTGAGTTTTATTGCTCACATTTACCGTTGAGGCTCCCTCATGTTTCGCTGCACTGGCAGCAAACTGAGGTAGGAGATCTAACAAGTCTTTTCCGTCTCTTTATTACAATAACCAAAGGGGTGTCACGTGATCTTTACAAGCTCTTGCATCATGTTCACTTATGCCAAAGATCCAGATGTAAGATCCAATAATAATAGAGATTTGGGGTTGGTGGCGTTTACTTACTAAAGTTGATGGATCTGCTGTGCTAGCCGTAGTTTTTCTGATTGTCACATCTGATCCGACTGGCACTTTATAAGGGATTGAAGGATTTCATAGGCCTTGATAAAGCAAAAAGCTCACCAGGTTGCATTTTCCTCTTTTCCTTCTACAGTGACAAATCATAGATGAAAGGTCAATGAATGCCCATGAGTGGAAGAAATTACATAAAAATCTACCTGCAGTTCCCTGGTGAATAATACTGCAGACCTCTTCGTCCTATACATCGTACCTTTTCTATGTATTTATCACAGCCAAGCTTCCAGTCTGACTTAGGAACCTTTGGGGACTCTTGCAGAAGGCACAAAATTATATGCCACGTTTGCAGGAGAAGAAACTGTTTTATTCATCTACTGACTTTAGGGACTTTAGAGTTCTAAATGAAATTAAGATCTCATGAGCAAATCAGGTTCCTAGAATAAAAAAATGCTAAGCAAGAAGAAGGATGGGTTTGCCTGTGTTTGAAATAATACAGGATTTTAAGCATAATTTCAGATTTTAAAATAGTTGTTATGCTCATAGAAGATGTATTTTATTACGGGATGAGAGACTTGTTTCAGAAAGTAGCCATTATTTCTGAATCTTTCTGAAAATGGGATAATGAAAGAAAACCTACCAAACAATCTCCTAATGCAGAACTGTGTCTAGAAGAGCTAAGGGGATCCTTCCATACATAAGCAGAGGATTATCAGCTGGAAGTGGTACTGCCCCTGCATAAGCATTAGTGAGACCATTTCCGTATCCAGCACTCAATAAAACAAGTTTCAAACCCAGAGAGTATTCTGGGACAATTTGCAAGAATGTGCTGCCTGCTGCAATACATGTCTGATGGGAAATACAGCCCATTATGCTTGTCCATGAGAAGGTCAGGACAAATTAGGGATGTGTTCAAACAGTCTTGCAAGCAGACCCAAGCTCACCCTGGTTGTCCATGAAGCGAATGCAGTCATGTGCTCTGAACCAGCAAAAAGATTTAGGTATATGTTTGATGGATTCATTGCCTCTACCTTCAGCTGTCTAAAAGCAAGCTGCAGAGCTTAGGCTGATTGTTTCTATGGTCAACAGAGAGTTAGAGGCATCCCTCGAATGCGATTCATTCCACCCGTCTCTGACATCTATCTTGAAACAGGATAAGGCATCCCATAAAAAGGTTTATAAGCAGAGCCACTGACTGAACAGCCTAAATTACTAGCTTGAAGTAAGTAATGTCTTTTGGGGTTTTTTGCTGCTTCACTCGTACACAGCTTCTTAATAAATAAATAAATAAATATCCAGCCACCAGTGCTTGAATTCCCTAGTCTAAAACCTCTACGCGCATAGCTTAGACGACTAATAGGCCTTAGACGTGATTTGTTTTGTAAGGAGGTTCCTGTTGCACAGATGTCTGTTCTGAAACATTCTAAGAAATTTAAGAGGTGCAGTATCATTAGCAAAATGCTTTGGTTGTGGTATATACAGGACCAGACTACAAGCTTCAGTCTGTGAATGCTAATACTGCCACCTGTAACACTGGGCTAGTGTGTGTGCATTTTACAATACCTGCAGGCAAAAAGGGAATTTGTGATACCAAGAGTTAGAGCAAGACTTCACCAGTTCTGAAATCTAGAAGCCTGCAGGTATCTAGGATTAATGAAAAAGATTACAAAAGCAGAAGATGTCTATAAGGAGCAGCCAAAATCCAAGAGAAAAAAATCCCATAGGGATTTAATCTCTGATCTGCTTTTAATTTACTTTCTTATAGTTAGTTTCAGTCTTATCAACTCAGCTGACCAAAAGAGAAGCATGTAATTCAGCAATTGCACTTACTTTATCAAAACCATAAAGAGCTGATAGGGTAGATGAATACCTCTTCCCTTCCTTCCTCAGACTAAAATCTACGTGCTGACTAGGTCTTTTGTAGCAGTATTTGTCTCCACTGTTTTGTATTGCACCGAACATACAATTTCAATAATTTGTTCCAAAACGTGTTAGATTTGTTTCCTCTGTATACATAGCAAGTTTACAGCTCCGTTGAATGAATGCGTCTAGCTGTCCTTACCTGTATTTTACTATGTTCAGCTGGGCAGTGGATCTGTACAGCTCTCAGTTGAATAAATACGCTAAGGGAGACGCCTAGTGTAAAATGATGTCCACAGCATCTTCAGCTGCTCATTCCAACATCATCGCTGCAGAGCTCTTTTTCTACTAGCATTAAAAAGTAGACACACACAGATGTACGCAACATGCATTCGGCATATTTCCACACCTTTCACGGTGAATGAACAGTTCAAAAAACACATTTAACATGTGCGATAATACCACAGGAGTGAATACTCTGTGTGCTAAGAATGGCAAATAGCAACAGGATAACAGCAATAAAAGCGATATTCTTACCTGGGTAAGAATTCTATGGTTAATGTAAATATTGCTTAACATGATTAGCGGACTGCACACAGTCAGGCTCTGATCATATTACACCTGCTGTTGCTGCTGCTGAAGATTATACACGTGCTGAGGAAAAAATTACACAAAGCACCTTTAGGCAAGTGTATCGCCTGCATTGAAGTAAATGAAACAAGCAGCACATGTCTTTGTGCCTTGCGGAAGGGAGCCACGTGAACCAGGTGCAGTAACAATTTGATGCAAGTCATGAATCTCACACTGCAGCAGCTGCTCTGCTTTCAGGGGGGAACTTGCCAAAGATAGTCATCAAACTGGGTTTCCCTTGCAGC